TGGCGGTCCCCCAAACCGCTCGAGCGTGAGCCTCGTTTTCAATGAAAATGTAGCCGGCGCCGCGGCGAGAGCGCCAGAGCGCCTGTAAGGGACCCAACAATAAGAATTGCTGATTAAACAGCATTCAACAGCAACAACAACAACAACAACAACAACAAAGCAACACCGGTTTTCTGGGCCCCGTACCCTAGGCCTCGCTTACCCGTCGTCCCCACGGGAAGAACACCGGCATTCAGAGGCCCCTTCGGGGCTTGGGAGGGAGGGGGGAGCACCGCACCGCACCGCACTTCCGCACCTCTACTAGAATCCGACTACAGGTGTATCCACCTCTAATGGAATCCGCTTAGAGGCGCATCCACATCTAATAGAATCCGACTAGAAGTGGACCCATTCCTCGTAAAATCCTATTAGGGGTGTATCCACCTCTACTAGAATCCTATTGGAGGTGTATCCACCCCTATTAGAACCCGAATAGAAGTGCATCGACCCCTACTAGAAACCTATTAGAGGGGCATCCACCTCTAATAGAAGCCTACTACAGGTCCACCAACCTCTAATAGAGTCCTACTAGAGACTCATCCGCCTCTAGTAGAATCCTATTAGAAATTTATCTACCTCTGATAGAATCCTAAAAGAAGTGTATCCATTTCTAACAAAATCCGATTAGGGATGTATTCACCCCTAGTACAATCAAATTCGAGGTGTACCCACCCATGATACAATCCTATTAGAGGTGCATCCACCTCGGATAGAATCTTATGAGAAGTGCATCCACCTCTAATAGAAACCTATTAGAGGTGCGTCCACCTCTACTTGATCTTATTAGGTGTATCCACCCCTGCTAGAATCCTATTAGAGGTGTGTCTACCTACAATGGAAGCCTAGTAAAGGTGTATCCACCTCTAATAGAATCCTATTAGAAGTGAATCCAACACTCATAGAACCCAATTAAAGGTGCACCCACCTCGAAGATTCGATTAGAGGTGCATCCGCCTCTAATAGAATCCGATTAGAAGTGGATGCACCTCTAATACAATCCTTTTAGCGGTGTACCCACCTCTAAAAGAATCCGTTCAGAAGTGAAACCAGTTCTAATAGATACCAATTAGAGGTGCATCCACCCCTAATGAATCCTGGTAGAGGCGCATACAATCATAATAGAACCCTATTAGAGGTGTATCATCACCAATCCCATCACCATCGTCAATCATCGTCATCACCACCATCAGAATGATCATCATCGTCATCACCATCATCAGAATGATCATCATCGTCATCACCATCATCAGAACCATCATAATCGTCACAACCACACCATCATCGCCAGTACCATCCTCATCGCCATGGTCGCCATCCTAGTAAGCATCACCATCGTAGTCAGCATCATCATCGTCGTCACCAGTACCACCGTCATCCTCGTCATCATCGTAGTCAGCATCATGAGTATCGCCGTCATCAATACCACCACCAGCATCATCATCATCATCATCATCATCATCGTAGTCAGCATCATCAGTATCGTCGTCACCCGTACCACGATCATCATCATCATCATCATCATCATCATCATCAGCATCATCATCATCATCATCATCATCATCATCATCATCATCATCATCATCATCATCATCATAGTCATCGTGTTCATCATCATCGGCAGCACGAACATGATCGCCACCATTATTTTCATCATCGACGCCAGCCTAATCAGCATCGTCAGTACCATCATTATCATCACCCTCATCATCATCAGCAGCATCATCAGCATGACCATTACCATCATCATCGTTATTATCATCGACTCCCCATCCCTCCCCCTGAAGGGGGAGGAGGACGAGAAGGAGGCAGAGGGGGGAGAAGAGGGGGGGCAGATCGAGGAGGAGGCAGAGGGGGGAGGGAGGAGGATGGAGGACAAGGGGGCCGATTGCACTCAACACTGCGAACATAAGACTACTCATCATACGTATGTGCATCATCGTCATCCCTATCATCCTCATAGTTGCCCTCCCAATCCTTACCATCCTCGTATAGATGATCGTCATACTCCTCCTCATCCTCTCCATCATTATCTTAGTCATCCTCCGCCGCATCATTGTTGCCCTCACCATCCTAGGCATCATCATTCTCATCATCATCATCATCCCTCTCCCCAATCATCCTCTTCAGCTTCATCATCCTCCCCATCCGTCTCCTCAGGCGAGGGCGACATGCGACATACAGGTTCCAACATTGAATAGGGGAAGGGGTAGGAAAATCATCATCTTCATACTCATCATCATCATCATCATCATCATCATCATCATCATCATCATCATCATCATCATCATCATCATCATCAGCATCATCATCATCATCATCATCATCATCATCATCATCATCATCATCATCATCATCATCATCATCATCATCATCATCATCATCATCATCATCATCATCTGCAGCATAATCATCACAGCCACCCTCATGTTCAGCATCGTCATCATAATCATGAATACAAACACCAATTGCATCATCATGGTCATGGTCGTCAACATCATCATGGTAATCAAAATCATTGCCCTCATCATCACCACCATCGTCACCACGATTACACTCATCATCGTCATCATAACACTAATCATCAATATCATCATCATTGTCATGGTCAGCATCGCAATCATCACCATCATGTTCCTTGGGAGTTCTTAGGATGCCCGAGTGATTCCTTTGGATTCCGCAAGGAGGATTCCCCAGGGAGCCCGAAGATTCCATAGAACACCCTAGGGATTCCTGAAGATCCCCTACCCTGTTAGCATTCCTAGGAATTCCCTGGGGATCCCGTAATTAGGGTTCCCTAGGGCTTCTTCAGGATTCCCCAAGGATCCCTGAGAAGTCACCAGGGATTCCGAAGGATTCCCTAGGAAGCCCTCGGGATTGTCTAGGGATCCCTAAGGATCCCCAAGGGGTTCCTTAGGATGCCTGAGGACTCCCCGCGGTGCGGTGCGCTGCGGCGCGCGCGGTGCGGTGCGCCCAGTACGATGCGCACGGTGCGGTGCGCCCCCCCACCCCTCCCCCAAGGGGGCCTCTGAAACACGGTGTCGTCAACAACACCAACACCAACACCAACACCAACACCAACAACAACAACAACAACAACAACAACAACAATCATTTTAAGACTGTTCGCCCTTATCTGTTCGAGTGTCCAATGACGCGTATTTCCCAAGCCCTCGATACCCGCTCTCTCAGTCTTCGATCGAACCCCTTCTGGGGGGTAGACCTGTCTTCCCTGCAGGCCAGGCCCCGGCAAGCGGCGGGGCGGTCGCGGACCGTCGGCCTGGCGAGCGGCAGCGCTGATCGGCGGGGCGGCCGCGGACCGTCGACCCGACCCCAAGAGGGACGGACAGGGGACCGACCACGACGACGACGACGACTTCGACGACGACGGCGACGACGACGACGGCGACGACGAGCGAAAGCGAGAGCGAGAGAGAACGACAGCAGGGCCTCGAAGGACACGAAGTAGGCCACGAAGGGCGACAGTGGGGACACGAAGGGAATGCGTATGGGGCCACGAATGGCGCGAACGAGCGGGGGCCACGAAGGGCAGATAATGCGGGGCCACAGAAGGCAACTATGGGGCCACTGAGGGTAGCAACTGAACCACGTAGGAAGGTGAGGGGGACACAAATGGCGACAGCGGGGCCACGAAGGGCATGCACATGGGGCCACAACGGGCGCGATTCCTGGGTGCCTGGGTGTCGGGAGCGCGGCGCTTGAGCAAATTGCAGAAATTCCAACGCAGGGGCGCTATTCTTCAGTAAATTGCAAGCAAGTCTCCAGCGAGAGCGCGACTCCAGAGCGCCGGAAGAGCGATTTCTGATTAAACCGTGAGGAAGTCCCAAGCGAGAGCGCGATTTCTGAATAAAATGCGAGGAAGTCTCGGGCGGGAGCGGGGGTCCTGGCTAAATTGTAAGAAGTCTCAGGCGGGAGCCGTTGTTGTTGTTGTTGTTGTTGTTGTTGTTGTTGTTGTTGTTGTTGTTGTTGTTGTTGTTGTTGTTGTTGTTGTTGTTGTTGTTGTTGTTGTTGTAACCCAAGGGCCAAGGGTCAAGTTTGAGCATCAAAACTTTCCCTGTCAAAAAACACGGTGCGAGCGTGGAGGGGCACACTTCGATTGAAAAAACAATATGCACCGGTGGCGGGGGGGATCAACAATAGTTATCTTTCAGAAACGAAGGTTCAACTGCCAAAAGCGTGCCACCCCCCCTCACTTTGTTCTCGGGCAGGCTTCCACAGGCATTCCGCCGGCGCCTCCGCCAAGGGAGGGAGGGCGGCTTTTCTCTGGAGCGGGGGGGGGGGGGAAGCGTTCCCCAGCCCAGGGTCCCCCGCGTTTCTCTCCCTTCTGGAGCCCCTGGGGCCCTCTGGGGGCCTTTCGGCACGGCGCGCTGGAGGCCCTCTGGGCCTCCCCCGGAGACCCTGGGGACGCCTTGTGCCTGGGGCGCCAGGGACACCTCTGGCAGTACCGCGGTGTTCGGCCCCTCGACTGCGGGGGAACGCAAGGGGAGACTGGCTCAAGGGGGGGGGGGACATCCACTCAACATCGGCGACACCTCGCCGAGACATCGGCGGTAGGCCCTCGACTGCGACACCGAAGGCTCCTGGGCAGCCTCTGGGGCACCTGGGCCCCGACTGTCGAGGAAGGGGCGGCTGGGCGGCGATGCTGCCCCCGCTGGGCCGATGGTTCCCCCACGGAGCCCAGCCCCCTCCTCCTCGCTCCTCCCTCCTCCTCTTCCCCCTCCTCCCCCTCCTCCTCCTCCTCCTCCTCCTCCTCCTCCTCCTCGCTCCTCCCTCCTCTTCCCACCTCCTCCTCCTCCTCCTCTCCTCCTCCTCCTCCTCCTCCTCCTCCTCCTCCTCCTCCTCCTCCTCCTCCTCCTCGGCGAGGAGGGCACTTCCCCTACGGCCCCGCGTGGTGTGGGAAGACCGCCTCTCCCAGGACCGCGCGGCGCGGGCGGCGGCGGGCTTTTCTGAGTGCGACAAGGGCCGTACGACAAGGGTGCGACGACGAGCGCCGCGTCAGCAGCAATGGCTGCCGCCGCGGCCAGTCTGAAATTCTGCGGGGGCAGGAGATCGGCCAGGCCCAGGACATCCTCCAAGCGTCCTCCCGGCCTCCCCTCCCTTCGTCCTCCCTCCCTCTCTCCCCACCTCCCTCCCTCCCTCCGTCACCCCCGGCTCCGTCCCTCCAGCATCCATCCTCTTCCCTTTCTGCATCCCTCTCCCTCCACCTCGTTTTTCAGTATTGTTGCCCCTCCTGCGAGGCAGGGATTTATCGATATCCACCGCCTGGGAACCGACGTCCTGGTGCCCCAGCGGGCGGTGGATCTAGGTACATTTTGGCCCCAGGGGGCCCGAAGATGTCCATATCCACCGCCTGCCGAGGTCCCCGAAAATGGATCCTCCAGGCGGTGGTCATGTAGAAATTGCCCCCTCGGACCTCCCTTTGGAGGCCTGGAAATGGGCACCAACACCAACACAAGGGGTGTCCTCCACAAGGGGAAGATGATCCTAGATTTCGGTGTTGGTGGTAATATTTGGGCCACCTTGGAAGCCAGAATATTACCACCATCACCGGGATCGGGATCTTCTTCCCTCGGTGGATGCACACCGACGAAATTGGTGTTGGTGTCAACCTCTGGGCCTGCGATCCCTGCCTTCCACTCTCCATCCACGTTGCTGCCTCCCTCGCCTGTCTCCTCCATCCCTCTCTCCACCTCCGCAATCCCTCCTCCCTCCCGCCCCCTTCCTCCGTCCCTCCCTCTCTCCATCTGCCCCCTTTTCCCTCGGAGGGTGGAGGAGGAGCAGCAGCGGGGACGGGAGCAGGGGAGGAGAAGCAGGAGAAGGACAGGAGGAGGAAAAGGAGGAAGAGGAGGACGAGGAGGAGGAGGAGGCTGGGGGGACGAGTGGGAGGATGAGGAGGACTACGAAGAGAGCGAGAAGGAGGAGGAGGATAATGGTAGGAAGGGGAGATCAAAGAGGAAGAGGAGGAGCAACAAGTGCAAAGCCAAGACGCATCGACGATGCCATCCGTGAGACTGCTGCAAGTGTCAAACTTCAGGACTCGAGATGGCGAGGAGGTCTCCAGAGAACCGCCCAGCCCGCCCTGCCGACAGGTCCAGGAGGTGCGACTGGAAGGAGTGAGCACCAGGAAGAAGGATGGAGGAGGAAGACGAGGAAGGGGGAGGGCAGGGAGAAACAGGCGGGGGGGGGGCAGGAAGAAGGATGGAGGAGGAAGATGAGGAAGGGGGAGGGCAGGGAGAAGCTGTTTGGTCTGCGGGTCGAGAGCGAGCCTCTTCCGGTTAAAAGCTAGGCGGGCCACGCAAAGCTCTAATTGGGGAGACAGCCGACAGGGAGAAACAGGCGGGGGGGGCAAGGAGAAACGAGGGGAGGAGAGAGGAGCAGCAGGGGCGGGGAGGGAGGATGGGGGGACGAGCAGCAGGACGGCGAGGAGCGGGACAACGGGGACAGCCCTCGTCCTGGCCGTTCACGGGCCCCGCAAAAACACAGCGCAAGATGCAAACATGGCTTGTGCGACAGCGACGCCCGTCACTCCCCGTTAAGCCTCGCCGTCGCAGTCGGCGTCGTCGTCCACCTCATCCTTCTCCTCCTCCTCCTCCTCCTCCTTCTCCTCCTCCTCCTCCTCCTCCTCCTCCTCCTCCTCCTCCTCCCACTCCTCCTCGTTGTCCTCGGTGTCCTCGTTGTCCTCGTTGTCCTCCTCCTCCTCCTCCTCCTCCTCCTCCTCCTCCTCCTCCTCCACCTCTTCCCCCTGCGCCTCCTGGTCCTCCTCTTCATCCCCCTGCGCCTCCTGCTCTTCCTCACCTTCCGTCTCCAGGACCTCTCCCTGCCTCGCCTGCTCCACAGCGACGCCCTCCTCCCTCCCCCCCCCGCCCGGCAGGCAGCTCCCTCCCCTTTGGCATCACCAGGGCCCGTCGGTGGGGCTGTCAGGGCATCTCGCGTGAGACCGCCTCGCCGCTTGGGGAATCCTGTGGTGTCGCATGTCCGATAGCTACAAGGGTTTTGGGTGACCCCAAAGGGGGTCCAGCTGAAAGGGGGGGTGCCACATATTCGGGGCAGTTGCATTGCAAACGTATTGCGCTAGAGAGTTGTACTGCATTGAATTGCGAGTAGTGCATTGCGCGCGAAATTATACAGCAATGCATTTGCGCCCCGACACGTACTGCACGCCCCAAATGTATTGCAACCCCACAAATCTATTGCACCAAATCTATTGCACCACCCCCTTGTCGCTGGACCCTCTTTTGGGCCAACCCGGAGGATGGAGGGCGGACCATGTCCAGATTCAGACTGGATCTCGCGCCTCAGCGCAGCAGCGCACATTAGGTTTCTGACAGGCTTGCAGAAGCACCTGGGACTGAGGGGGGAGTCCTCTCAAACTGGGGCTCTCGTCAAACACAGATGCAGGGCGGTCACGTGTTAATTGGAGCCTTCGCCTCAGCGAAGCGCACATTCGCTGCAACTGCTCTCGGCAATTGCGCGGATAGGGCACGGCCCATAGGGGCCGCAAGACGACACGGGAGGTCAAGACCGCCAACATGCCAAGAACATCCCAGATGCGCCCAAAACGCCCCGACGGGGCCCCAAAAGGCGTCCAAAAGGCCTGCAAGCGCCCCCCCCATCGGCCACCGAGGTGCCCCGGGAGGCAAACCAAGAGACCACGACAGACATCTAGGAGGCATCTGGTCCACAATCCAGGCACGGGGGCGGGATGGACCCAAGGCCACCAGAAAGACAAAACTCGCGGCTGCATGTTAGACATCGTCCGAACAGGCCATCGGAGCGTGAATCCCCATACTGAGCAAACACCTCCTGCGTGCACTTGTCGTCATCATCGCAATCGTCGTCATCGTCGTCGTCGGCGTCGTCGTCACCCTCGTCGCCATCACGACCACCGTAATTAATCATCATCAGCAGCATCAGCATCATCATCAGCATCACCATCAACCTCAGCAACAAAAACATCATCATCACCATCATGAACTTCATCCTCACCATCATCATCATCAACAGCAGCAGCTAAGCCATGACCGTCATCATCGTCACCACCAGAAGCAGCAGCATCAGTACCACCACACATCATCATCACCATCAATATCATTCGTATCATCAACATCATCTGCAGCAGCATGCTCATTATCGTCATCAACATAACGATCATCTTCTTCGTCAACCGCATCATCATCATCATCAGCAGCGTTATCCTCGTTATCATCATCATCAACAACAGCATCAAGTTCGTCATCCGTCTCCTGTGGGTGTTGTGCACTGTGCGCCTCCACCAGTGGGGGATCACCATCATCGCCGACCGAAGACTCATCATCACCAGCATCATGATCATCATACTCATAATCAGCATCGTCACCATCATGATCATCAGCATCACCATCATCGACAACATAATCCTCGCCAGTGTCATAACCTTAATTAGTAGCCTAGTCGTCTTCATCGTCGACATCATCGACATCATCAGCATCATCATTTTCAGCAGCACCATCATAATCATCGCCTTCATCATCCGCAGCCTGATCCGCATCATCATCAGCATCGTCGTCGTAACCGTGGTTTGCATCACCATCATCACCAACGACAACACAGTTTTGGTTTGCGGGTCGAGAGCAAGCCTCTTCAGGCAGTGCTGAGGAGCTCGCACAGGAAAAGGAACGCCTTGGACAAGAGCCGGAGGCGAAGTCCCGGAGGGTAAGCGGCGTGGCGTTGCCGCCGACGGCGCGCCGAAAACACCATCCTCAAGTGCTGCGTGCGGATGGACGTGAACAGGTCGCCGCCCAGGGGGAAGAGGTCCACCATGAAGGCGATGAGCAACGCTGCGCCACCAGATGGTGAGGAGGGGCCCAGGAGATGAGGAGGACCACGAAGGCGATGTGCAGCGTTGTGCCACCGGCTGGTCGGCAGCGGCCTGGGGTGGTAGTCCAATCCACGTCCAGGGAGCAGCCAGCAAGAGGTGCGGCCAGAAACAGGGCCGTCCGTGCCCGACTGGATGTCGGTGGTGTGCAGGGAGGAAAGAGGAAACCTGACCTGCACAGTCAGCGCGTGAAGACGGGCGGGAGCCACACACGATGCGCTGACGATCGCATGACCAAGGGCCGGGCCTGAGCCGCGCTGCCCAAGGCAAGCGGGGCCGCCGAAGCGGCAAGGTGCAGTGCCCAGCACAGGGCCGGAGCCGCGCTGTGCTGGGCGCCGCCGCCATGGGAGGAGGGGGAAGCGAGCGGGGGGGGACGAAGCGAACATGGAGGAGAGAGGTCGGCATCCCGCGCCGGCCGAAGTCGCGTCCGCTTGCACCTGGGTGCTCACGTGGGGACAAGCCCAAATGGGTACAGGTAGGACACAAGGTCCCATTGCAGGAAAAAACAGGGCGTGCCACGCAAGTCGTCGGTGCACCAATGCGTCGCAGATGGGTACAAGTGGGACACAAAGTCCCAGATCCTTGAATATCCTTCCGCAGATGGGTACAGGTGGGACACAAAGTCCCAGATCCTTGAATACGACAACACAATCACTATCATCAGCAACGACATCATCATCAGCAGCATCAGCATCAGCATCGTCATCATCATCGTCGTGTCACCATCAGCAGCAGCATCATCGGCATCAGTATCAGCATCAGCCTGAGCATCATCAGCCTAATCACATGCATCGTAACCATCAGCAACATCAGCATGCTCATCGTCATCAACATCATCATGCTCAGCAGCATTAGCATCATCATCGCCATTCAAATCATCATCCTAGTCATCAGTATAAGCATCGTTACCACCAACAACAGCAACAGCACCGCCATCGTCATGATAATCAATATCATCGTCATCGCCGTCATCAGCATCATCAGCGTCACCATCATCAGCAGCAACCTCATCATCACCATCACATGATCTTCATCATAATCATCAGTATCATCATCATCATCATCATCATCATCATCATCATCATCATCATCATCATCATCATCATCATCATCATCATCATACCATCACCATCATAACCATCATCGCCATCATCGACATCGTCGTCGTCGCCAATATCATCGCTACAATCATCATCAGCAACATCATCAGCATCATCGTCGTCACGGGTATCATCATCACCATCACCATCGTTGACGTCGTCATCATCATCATCAACATCATCATCATCATCATCATCAGCATCATCATCATCATCAGCATCATGATCATCATCATCAGCATCATCATCATCATCATCATCATCATCATCATCATCATCATCATCATCATCATCATCGCTACCAGCAGCATCATCGTCACTATCGTCATCATCTGCATCCTCAACATTCGCATCCTCCTCGTCATCATCATCATCAGCAGCATCATCATCCACATCATCATCATCATCATCATCATCATCATCATCATCATCATCATCATCATCATCATCATCATCATCATCCACATCATCATCATCAACAACAACATCAGCATCATCAGCATTATCAGCATCATCATCGCCACCATCATCAGCATCATCAGCACCAGCATCATCATCATCCTCATCCTCAGCATCAGCAGCAGCAACAGCAACATCATCCTGCTCCTGCTCCTGCTCCTGCTCCTGATCCTCCACTGCCCCTGCCGTCGCGGACACGCGGCCGCAGCCGGGGCGCAGAACAGGCAGCCCCCCCGATGGGGGGCGGGGGGCGGCAGACTGACGCAGCGCAGGATGCAGGCAGGGCCATCACGGCGCCGAGCTTCGCGCGGTAGTGGATCGGGGGCGCTCCGCAGCGGGCCTGGAAGAAGGCAGCTACTCAGGGTCGTCTGCTCGGCGTGTCGCAGCGGCGGCACCAGCGACACGCTATGACCTGCGAGCCGATCGCGCATCACTCTGCTCCGCGGGGCGGGAGGCCTGGAAACGCTCGGGACCTTGACAATCGGGGACTCGGAAATGGATAGAGCATCGCGCCCAAGCGTGGTGGGCCAGAACCAGCGCCGCGACACGCTGAGCAAACGTTCCTGACCGCAATGAACCAACGCATAGGCAACCACGTGTGAACCCTGCCCGTGATTTCTGAGAGGATGTCTGGGGTTCAGAAAACGAAGTGAGCCCCAGCGGGGGTGTCCGACACCCCAGCGACGAGTGGACCTTGTAAGGGCAGGGTTCGCGTGTGGCCGCAGCACGCAGCGGGACCTCCAGCGTCACCAACGACTGCGAGCTGCACTTGCTTCTGTTCTGCCATCACGGCGTCCGAGGGGCCGTGTCCATAGAAGGACGGCACGCAGCGAGAAATCGGACCCAAAGGTGCGAGCTCTGGGGCCCTCACTGCGGAAAACACCTGACCACCGCAACTGCGGAACCTGGAGCCTTCGGGGATATTCTGACCCGGGTCAATCCAGACCCGGGTCAGCAGGAAACCAAAAAACTGCAATGCAGGAAAAAAAACACTGCAATGCAGGTCTTCGCAAACCCGGGTCAGCCACGATGCGCGGCCGCCTCGCGGCCACGAGCGGCTCGCTAACCCGGGTCAGTCAGAGGGGGTCTTCGCTGGATCCTGCAGGATCCGGAGCCCTGGCTGACCCCCATTTGCATTGACCCGCGTCTCCTGAGTCCCGACAGCCTCTCCGCGCACGAACCGCCCGCCTTGCCAAAGCCCGCTCCAGAGCTGGCTGCCCACCGCGAGGGTCCACCCCGCGCCAGACTTCCGAGCCGCGTCCGACAGTGGCCACGCGCGCGGCCCCACCCCCGCAGAGGCACAAACCAGATACAGTCGGCCTCGATTGGACAGGACACGCGAGAGGACACAAGGCCCCTTCCGAGGGCCACACTGCCACAGGAATGGTTTTTTCCATGGAACACAGCCCCATCATGTGTCACCACGCCTCGGCCAGCACAGTGAAAGGATTCGCACTGCCACTTCAAATTGTCCCTTCACAGGACAGCGCCTAAGCAAGCCCCTTCCGAGGGCCACATTGCCACAGGAATGTAGGAAGCATGGGTCGCGAGACACAGGACACAAGGGTACCCTTGATTTGGCAGGGTCGACCTACTACTCTGGGCCGACTGTAGGACAGCCGACGCAATGCCAGACTGTGTGGCCCATGCCGGGTCCTGCCACCCGTTCTCGCTCGTGAGCGGTCGGCGCCCTCCCGCCTTGGGAACAGCTTCTCGAGGTGCGCGCGGCGGTGCCGCGGCCCGATGCCGCCGCGGCCCATCAGCCGCTGCAGCTGCGGGTTCGCGGCCAGCTCCTCGAGCCTCAGCGGAGCCTCTGCCGGATGACGGTGACGACTTCGACGACTTCGACGGCGACGACGACGACGACGACGACGACGACGACGACGACGACGACGACGACGGCGGCGGCGGCGACGACGACGACAGCGACGACGACGACGACGACGAGGACGAGGACGAGGACGAGGACGACGACGACGACGACGAACGGCAGCGACGACGACGACGACGACAACAGCGACGACGACGACGACGACGACGACGACGACGACGACGACTGCGGCGGCCAAGCAGCCGAAGTTTGGCAATAGCAGGAGACGCAGCAGAACTGGAGTCGGAGCTGGAGCAGGAGGCGGGGATGGAGTTCAAAGAGGAGGCCCTGAGGATGGGGTCCACAGGACAAGGTGACTCAAACAGTGCGAAATCCTCCCCTAGATCCCATTTCTCAGGCGCTCTCCTCGGCGGCGCGCACACGGGGGTAGGGAGAGAGGGGGAGGCTTCTTAGAAGGAAGCTGCTTCTTAGAAAGCGCTGGCCCTACATCTGTGCAGAAGGCCCGTGCCTTCTAAGAAGCAGGGGTGCTTCTAAGAAGCCTGCCCCCGTCCCCCCTACCCACCTCTGCGCGTCGTCGTCGTTATCGTCGTCGTCGTCGTCGTCGTCGTCGTCGTCGTCGTCGTCGTCGTCGTCGTCGTCGTCGTCGTCGTCGTCGTCGTCGCGGAGCCCCGAGCCGCGGCCGAGGCTGGGAGCCTGGGCGCCGGCCGGGGGCCAGAGCAGCAGCAGGGGAAAGCTTCGGGCTGGAGGGGGGGAGCGGGCAGCAGCAGCAGCAGCAGCAGGAGCCGCCAGGCCGCGGCGCCTCGGGAGAGGCGGCGCCCACCTCCTGTCGGGGGGGGGGCGAAGAAGGCGCGGGTGGGGGGGGGCGGAGGGGGGGGAGGGGGGGGAGGAGGAATGGAATGGAATGGACCTATCGCGAAGCGATGAAAGCGTCACCCAATCCGCCGCCGAGATCTTACTCAGCATAGTTGGGCCACAAGCTGGGCTAGAAAATTATGCCCGGCACTCGAACTTTCGACCCCCCCGAGGAGACACGGGGAGAGACGGGGAGGGACAGGGAGAGACGGGGAGGAGGAGGGCCACTGTAAACCCATGACGTATCAACGATTTTGCACTAGAGCCTCCCCTCAAGCTCCCCTTTCATAGGCCCCTACAAAAATTGATTTTCGTTGCGGGAGGTGCCCCAGTGGCAGACAAGCGTCTGAGAATCCTCAATCGTGCCGAAACATCATTCCTTGGACTTCAACGTTGCGAATCAACGTGGCTGTTGCGTCCTGACATCTTAAATCACGCCAGAGCACCATTCTTGGGACTTCAACACCGCGAATCAACGTGACCGCTGCATCCTTACAATCCTGAATCGTGCCAGAAAGCAATTCCTGGCTCAACGATGCCAACCCTTCAAGCTGTTACAAGCTGATAAAACGAATGCGCGCGGCGGTAATACGAGAAACCGCCCTCCACCCATGAAGCTGTCGCCAAGTTGTTGTTTAAAAGAAAAACGGTAAGGCGAGAGCCACATTCTGAAAACGGCCCGCGGTCCATCCTTGAACCTGCTGCGAACTGTTAAGACAACTGTGCGGGGCGCCAGAGCGAGAGCCACATTCTGAACAGGACCCGCCCTCCACCCTTGAAGCTGCTGCAGTTGTTTGAGACGAGCGTGCGCGACTGTAAGTGGAGGCCTGGAGATGGGCACCAGCACCAACACAGGGCTCTGCCTCCACACGGGGAAGATGATCCTAGATTTCGGCGTTGGTGGTAATATTTCGGCCACCCTGGAAGCCAGAATATTACCACCATCACCGAGATCGGGATCTTCTTCCCTCGGTGGAGGCACAGCGCCGATATTGGTGTTGGTGTCAATCTCTAGGCCTGCGAGGTAAAGCGAGAGCCACGTTTTGAAAATGGCCCGCCGTCCATCCCTGAAGCTGCTGAATTCGGGTGGTAAGACGAGTGCGCGCGGCACTGCACCGACAACCACACGTTGAGAAGGACCCGCCCTCCATCCCTGAAACGGTTGCACATGTGTTCTTGTTGTAGAGGAAGGTGACGAGGGAACGAAGGAGGGGAGGAGGAAGACGAGGCCGAGGGGGAAGCAACGACGAGCCCAAAGCGCAGAAACGACAACGCGGGTGGACAGGAAACGAGAAAGGAGGCGACAGAACGACGAGACAAGACGACAAGAGGCAGAACGACAAGAGACGAAACTGTTGCACACGTGTATAACAAATGCGCGCGGCGCTGGGGCGACAGCCGTAGCCATTCCTCAGGCTTCAAGACCATCATGGATGGTCAACAAAATGTCCAGTGAAACGCCCTTGCCCGCCCTGCCGGCACGCCCGGGGGCGCGACACGGAGGAATTGTTTTAAAGAGGGGGAGGAAGAGGAGGAGGAGGAGGAGGAGGAGCAACAGCAGGAGGAGCAGGAGGAGGACGACGAACGTTAAGATCCAAACTGATCGGAGGAGGCAGAGGAGGCGGAGGAGGCGGAGGAGGACGAGGGGAAGGAGGAGGAAGAAGAGGAGGAGGAAGAAGAGGAGGAGAGGGGGGAGGAGGAGGAGGAGGAGGAGGAGGAGGAGGAGGAGGAGGAGAAGAGGAGGAGGAGAGGAAAGAGGAGGAGGAAGGGGAGGAGGAGTGGCAGGAGGAGGAGGGGGGGCAAAGAGCGGGATGGAAGAGACCAGGAGCATGGGATAGGATTGGATAGGATAGGACCGATCGCGCGGCGAGGTGACATGACCCGACCACCACCCGAGACACCGCTCAGGTTTAATTGGGCTATTTTTACTTCGGGACTTTACTCTCGCACATTCTGGTTCATCAGCTTCTCCGAGTCGGCGCGATCTGCACACGCTGGTCCCGGGGAAGGCCGGGAGAGGAGGAGGAGTAGGAGGAGGAGGAAGAGGAGGAAGAGGAGGAGGAGTAATAATAATTCGCGGCGTGGAGGCGCGCAGTGTGCGATGATCACGTTAGCAACGTGCGGAGCAAGGCCCCTGTCGGCCTTCATGCCAGTTAAACGTGTGCGCGCAGCGCGTGCACTATATAGGGAATGCAACCTGCCAGAATACATCACATTCAGACACTGCTGCCAACCGAAGCTGGATTCACATCCAGGAGCGGAGAACCGGGGCCAGGCAGGCCCCACCAAGCTCATTATGAACTCTGGGGCCAGCCGCACCGACGCGTGGGGGCGGCGGATCCTGTGACTACTCACAACCGTACGCTGCGAGCTCAAGTGCGCACACGCGGGTGAAGGGAAAAAGCACGGCAGGGGCGACAGGGAAGGGGGGAGGGGGGAGAAAGACAGCGGCAGCAAGCGGCAGCCGCAAGCCTGGAACTCACTGGACAGGTGGCCGAGATCCTCATCGACAACAGTGGGTCACAGGGCTTCGAAGCAGCACCAGACGCACACAGCGCCCAGCTCCATCCAGCCGCAATACACTCGAAAGAACACGCTGGACGAGAAGTACGCAACAAAGTAGTACATCACGTCACGCACCAAAAGAGCACGCCAACTCGCGAGCCAGCGAATGTCATACACGCACTGCCAAGACTGAATTCATAGTACCCACACTAGTGCACCAAACGTGCGTCGGCGGCTGGCATATTGAAGACCCAGGAAGAAGGTTTTGAAGCATCTCCTCCACGGCCCCTGGCGGAGCGGCCCCGATCGCGCGATTGGCCCCGACCTCTGCCAGCACCTTGTTGAATACTTCCCTCGAATGCGTGCTGGAAGGTATCGATGGCTCTCCTGATTCGACTGCGAACTGCGACCGGTCCGTCTCCATGAGCGCTAGATGGACCTTCTTCTCGGTCTGGTCGCGGCACTTGGTGATCCGAAATAATCTGCTCACGGTCCAGATCTCGTCGACGGGTTGGGCGCATAGATATCTCTCGTGCCGACTCTTGAGCGTCGCGAAGCTGGTCGCGCCGAGCGCTGTCGAAAGCTCTGGAAGCTTGGTGACGAAGCCACCGAAGATATGAAAGTGAGGATGACCGCGTGGGTGGCCTGCGCCCGCTGCTTTGACGGTCTCGCTGTAGGCCTTGCCCGCGGCCTGAGCTTCCAGCACCTCTGGCAGGGTCGCGCCCGCGAACCACCCGTCGACGCCCAGGGACCAGAGGTCGCGCGTCGCCTGGCCGCGCACCAGAGTCGATTTGATCATCGCGCTGATAGTGGCTTTCTGCTTCCGGTTCCAGCCCGAGTCGGCCAGCGCCCCCGGGGCCTCGTTGCGATCCTTGCGCTGCTTCTTGGGGGCATCTGGCTGAGCTGCGCCCGAGGCCTCGGCTGGAGGCGGCCCTTTGGCCGCAGCCGGGGCTGCCGACCCTTCGGGAGCGGCGCGCTCGAAGGCCCAGCCCACGCCGGCTGCATCCGCAGGCGCGCGGCGCAGGGAGTGGAGGGAGGCGCTCGCCCCGAGTGCATTCTTGCAGCTGAACCAAATTAGCGCAGGAATCATGCTAACATAAGGGACATACAGGCGGCGCAGCAACAACAGGGTGAACGGCGTGAGCGGTACTCACATTGCACGCGCCCGGCAGCTTTAAGATAAGACTTTGCACACGCAGCACGGGCATTGGCCCGCAACAACGCACGTGTACAAGTTGGGCGCCCTGCCGCGCGCACCCCGTTTGGTGTGCGCATTGTGCAAGGTGGGCCCTTTTTACGCGTAGTAAACGCAGCCCCGCATACATGCCCCTCGTCGTTGAACTGTTCGCATCGAAAACGAAGCTCAGCAGCGCCCCCACCCCCCCACCCCCCCACCCCCTCCCCCTCGGGAAACACACCTAGATCAAGAACAGTGCCCACGCGACCAAGTTTTCTTAGCTTGCGAATCGCACTAACATCCGTATTCAAAAAAGCGTGGCCGAAATCATCATCCTCGAATCGGGTAATCACCGAGAAGATAATTCACAACACTAATATACATATCAGCATACGGTTTGGCTTCGCTAGTAATAACAGCATTGTTCTGCGCATCAGAATCCAAATGCAAACCGCCAAAATAACACAGCAAAAGCTCGAGCATGATCCCCGAGCCATCTAATCATATCTTGGTACCAACGTAATGTCTGAATAAGTAACTCGCACCGACACGGGATTAGATCTAACCACAGCCACGAACGTCGAAACGACCACGATCTAGGATGAGGGCCCGTCCAATCACACGCATCCCCCTGAGCGATCGACCGAATCTTCCGAAGCAGGGCAGCGTCGAGCTCGGCCCCCTGGGACGGCGGGAGCAGGAAGGGGGCGAGGCCCGAGAGGAGAGCGCCCTGGACGACACTGATGAAAACCAGTTTTTTGACTTTCCAGGGGACCCTGCTGGACCAGAACTCCCCGCAGGCACGCCACCCACGCGCGCGGGCATTTCTTGGGGCCAGGAGCTGTGGACCAAACGCCCCAGCAGGCAGGAAGCACGGTCCGAGGTAGCGAGCATAGGGAAGCACATGATCACCTCCCACTTCAGAATCGTAGGAACGTCTGTTATCATGGTACCCTCTCCAGTTGGGCACCGGCACTTGCTTGCTCAATTTCTACTTGCAAGTGCACTGCGCAAGCACAGCAGCGCCAATAGCCTGCTCCAGCCGCGCGGCTTCAACTGCTTCAGCAAGCAGGCCTGAGGAAAGAACTAAAAACTAATGGAGGTCGTCAACGTACTCGTTGAGGGACGCATCGGTCGTCGTGGAAACCAGTAGGCAAGTTACATGAAGCGAGGGTTGCACAGGCTTGGCAAAATCCATCCGAAATCCATCAGGGGCGGAAGTCTCTCCCATCAATGCACCACTGGTGAGGAGTAAGTGGATGCCCCCATCAACAGCTTCAATATGCAGTACATGTGTACGTCGAAGATCCTCCAACAGCCACGCACCAGCATACGGTACATATTCTCGTAGTACCTCATTCATGCGATCATGGTTGCAACAGCCATAAGCATTCGCCATGTCGTCCAGCACTGCCACGAACGGGATCTTCTGGTTGCGCAATCGCCACGCAGTACATTGGACACACAGAATAGCATTTTCACGGCGCCGATGCGGCACGCACCCGTGGTCAGCAGGATGGGCAGGGCCGAACGGTGCGGGTCGATGAATGCCCGGCAAATGGCACAAAAAGGGCACAGGACATGAAGATAGCGAGTACCCCATCAACCTTGGGGGGTTGTCACACATTCGAATATCCAGCACATGAGGGACATCGACAACTCATTCTCCAAGCGCCCGCCAGGGCCAGAAACGTTTCCATGATAGCAGTAGCGCCAGGAGTCCCCACTTGAAAACCAACTCCCTCGGGCCCTCTACGCTTGCGTGTGTAGCAATGAGGAGCCATTAACACCAACCATCTTTCACTGGGAAGACGCCAGGCAGGCACAGCACGTCGTCGAGGGGCTTTCTTGAGCACAGCAACGCCCCTGTCTAAGTCCTTGGCCCCTCCGCCCAGCGCCGCTTCACGACGAGCAGTACCCGCGGGAGGCAGAGCCGCGCGGCACCGCGAGAACTCATCTATCTTGATAGGTACTGCAGCGAGCCCCCCACGGTCACCAGGCCGCGACAGTTTCTCAGTCAGCTCGAGCACGGAGGGGGTCTGGCGACGCACAGCATTGTAGATTCGCCGCTTGGGACCCAAGCCCGTGCCAGCAAGTTTTCTAGATAGTGATTGAACGGCAGCCAGCTTGCGGAAGCGCCAAGCCTCCTGGAGCTCAGTCGTCCAGGTCGATCTCAGCACTCGTCTCCATCTTCTGACTCTCCCTTTATGCCGAGCAGTGAGATCATGCACCTGCGAGTCACGGTGGGCAGCGGGCGCACCAGCAGCACGAAGTTTGCCTCGTAAGTCCATCAGGGCACGGACCTCACGTCGAAGTCGTACTGTCTCGGGGTCGCGCGTGCCAGGTGGGCGGCCAACATGTTTTTTTCAGCTAGAGGAGAAATCGCAAAGCACATAGACTTGCAACCATCATCAACCATAGGAGCCTCCAGGAAACCAAGGATGTCATGCCGAGACGAATGGAGTACTTCATTCACTTCATTCAGGAAACACTCGCGCACGCCAAGGGTCTGTGGTACGTGATCCACAAACTTCCCCTTGTCAGAAGCAAGTTGGAGGCGCCTGCCCAGTCTCGTCATGGGCATGCACCGAGAAACACGCGAACGAAATCCCACAGGGATGGCCGTGTGGTCAATGTAGCTGGAGTGCTCACCGTCGTAGTAGGCGGGCGCCGTCGAACAGAATGTGTCGGGGCAATACAGGATGTGACGGTCAAGCAGCTCGCGAAGAGCACGTCCAGCGTAGCCCATCCGAGGGCGGGGGTAGTCACCTATGGCACGGCCCTGGTAGCCCTCCTCGGAGGAAGAAGAATCGTTTAAGTCAAGGTAAGGCCGACAGCTCAGAGCCGAGCCACTGCAATAGTACATTAATATCTTTTTCCAAGAAGCAGCAGCACGGCCCACGGCTGTCAGACGAAAATAAAGCACAATGCTGGTGATGTCCGAATTCTTCGTAATGATGCGGACCAGGCCGCCGCGTCCGAGGGCAACATCAGGTGGGACAGAAGTGCGATAGATCTTCCCCTAAACATGCCAACTCTTATGTATACCAATAGACACTCCAGCGCAGCAATTTGTGAAAGGACCGCATATCCGAAATGCACAAAATGCTGAATGCCTTGACTCTGCGACCAGACAGCTGCACCAGGAGTGGCCCTCCGACGCGTGCCGCACATAGCAATGAACGCGGCACTCTTCATGGCCTTGCTGATCTCCATGAGGCGTCTCGTTTGTACCAGGCTGCACGGGTTGTACCCAATTATTTGAAGTCGCATGTCGTAGTCACGAACGTCAGCAGCACCGCCACACACAGGCTGTGCACAGCCCCCGTTCGCCCATCAGAAGCTGTTGAGATGTAGAGTGTGAGTGAGCGTTGGGGGGCCCCACTGACTGTCTGACGCATCTGAAATGGGCTGGAGGAGGAGGAGGCGGGGGAGGAGGAGGAGGAGGAGGAGGAGGAGGAGGAGGAGGAGGAGGGGAGAGGAGGAGGAGGGAGGAGGGAGGAGGAGAGAGGAAGGAGAGGAGAAGGAGGAGGAGGAGGAGGAGGAGGAGGAGGAGGAGGAGGAGCGGAGGAGGGGGAGGAAAGAGGACGCCGATCCTCGCAGAACTGCCGGAGCGACGGGAGGAAGGGGCGCCCGTCGCTCACCGCGCTCGGCGGCGTGGGCCGCGCCCCCAGCTGCAGCAGGCACGCGTGCACGTCCGCCGCGGCCGCGGAGCCGCCGCCGGCGCCCGGGGCGAGCACGGACAGCGCCCGCGAGAGGCCTGGATCGGGGGCGTCCAGCCCAGACGCCCTCGCTCCTCCTCCTCCTCCTCCTCCTCCTCCTCCTCCTCCTCCTCCTCCTCCTCCTCCTCCTCCTCCTCTTCATCCTCCTCCTCCTCCTCCTCCTCCTCTCCTCCTCCTCCTCCTCCTTCTCCTTCTCCTCCTCCTCCTCCCCCTTCTCTTCCTCCTCCCCCGCCTCCTCCTCCTCCTCCTCCGCCTCTGCTCCTCCTCCTCCTCCTCCTCCTCCTCCTCCTCTCCTCCTCCTCCTCCCTCCTCCTCCTCCTCCTCCTCCTCCTCCTCCTCCTCCTCCTCCTCCTCCCTCCTCCTCCTCCTCCTCCTCCTCCTCCTCCTCCTCCTCCTCCTCCTCCTCCTCCTCCTCCTCTTCATCCTCCTCCTCCTCCTCCTTATGCGCCTCCTCCTCCATCTCCTCTTCCTCCTCCTCGTCCTCCTCCTCCTTCTCCTCCTCCTCCTCCTCCTCCTCCTCCTCCTCCTCCTCCTCCTCGTCTGCCCCTGGGGGCCCTTGCCGGGCCTCGGGGTCGTCAAATAACAAAATGAACGGGAGGCTTTTGGCTGTGTTCTGCCCCTGGGGGCCCTTGCCGGGCCTCGGGGGGGTCAGAAAAAACGGCTCGCAGGACGAGACACCGATCCGGGGGAATGGGTCGAGACCTCTGGGGGTCGACGCTCTGAAAAAGTCATGGCGTCGGGGGTCTGGGAAAGGCGCCCAGAGGGGGCACCCCCAAGGGCAGGACCACCCCAAAGCCCCGATGCTCCTTCTTCCCCTCCCCTCCCTCAAAATTTCTCCCTCTCCTCCCCCCCCCTTCCCGGGGGGGCGCTCATCCCCCCTCTCGGGAGCGTCCAGATGGGGGGCGCCCAGGAGGAGGGTGCGCAAATCGCGGCCGGGGGGGGGGCCAAGGGACGTATTGAGATACGAAGGGTGGCCATGAAAACTGGGGAGATATCTTAGCCTGGATCATGAGATCCCCGCGTGGAGGGCACAGGGAACTCCTTGAGACCTGGGCGTCGCATTTCTTTTGCCGCCTTTGGCGGTTTCTCCCCGGGCTTCGAGCCCCCACAGGGGCCCTCACGGATCGATCCAGCTCGGGAAGCGCCGCAAAAAGGCATAAACATAGACTTTGGCGCTCCGCGCGGATTTCTTGGATCTGTGTTAGACCCCCCCACCGTGGCGTGCGGAGCGCGCCAGGGGCGGCGCCGGAGGCGCCGCCGGGGGGCCCAGGCGCCGATCCAAGAAATCCGCGAGGAGCGCCAAATGTTTATGTTTATGGCGTTTCTCTTCTTCGATGATGGTCTGGGGGCTTCGGTCGCGAGTTCCCGCGGTGCTGCAACTTTTCGCGGCGGTGGATGCTCAGGGCATCCAAGATCCTTGTGGTGGCGTGCTGCCCCTCTCTGCGGCGTTCCGCTCTTGTGTATCTCCTCGCAGAGAAGTGGCCCGCTGGTGGCGGTGGTGTCGCTTCTCTTCCCTCCGAAGGCCCTCGTCCGCCGTGGCGCCCTGGCAGAGGTACGACAGCAGCTGCCGGACCTGCGGCGAAGACAAGAGGTGACAGGAGAGAGGGAGGTGAGAGAGGACAAGCAAGGCGCGCTCGCGCCTTATCTGACATCCTACCCCTCCCACCCTTCCCTTTTCATGGCGCTGGTGTTTCGTTATCCACCGGCGCGTGTCATAGCAGACCCGGACTTCAAAAAAAGAGGAGCCCGTCGTGAGATTCGCAATCGGACAGACAGGAACTGCGCACGTTGTAGGAGGTGGTGGATAAGCAGGAGGATGAGCAGGAGGATGAGCAGGAAAAGAAGCAGGAGGAGGAGAAGGAGGAGGGGGAGGAGAAGGAGGAGGAGGAGGGGGAGGAGGGGGAGGGAGGAGGAGCAGGAGGAGGAACAGCAGCAACAAGAACTGGAGAGGGGGAAACGGGAGGAGCAGGGAGACCTGGGGAAGGCGGACGGGGGGAAACGAGGGGGGCGACAGGGCAAGGCAAGAACCGCACAAGAGCCATAAGCGACTCAGGCGTCTCGGTACACGAGGCACCGAAAAATGCAGGAAGGGCCCACCCTGCAGGCCCGGTCAACGGCACATCATGCAGCAGTGCCGCAGCCTCCCCTGAGCACGGCACTGCCAGACTGGCTGGGCTTGCACCCTCGGGCCTCGAGGCGCCCCGGTTGCGTGTCGACGCCTTCTCCCACAGCCTCGCCAGGGCCACCGACAAGGGAGACGGCGGCGGTGGCCGACCCATCCCCAGTCCCTGGCGGGTGTGCAGTGCCAAGGAAGCCCGAAAGCAGCAGCAGCAGCAGCAGCAGCAGCAGCAGCAGCAGCAGCAGCTGCAGCAGCTGCAACAGCAGGAGCAGCAAGAGCAACAGGACAGGGCAAGAACCGCGCAAGAGCCACGAGCGACTCGGGCGTCTCGGTGCACGAGGCACCGAGTACGAGAAAGGGCCCACCCTGCAGGATCGGTCCACGGCACATCGTGCAGCGGTGCCGCAGCCTCCCCGGAGCACGGGCTGAGGGGGGCAGCAACGATGCGAAACGATGCGAGACGTGAAGTGGCCCGCGCTGGGGCGACAGGGCCATTCTGAACGACGGCGGCGGAGCGCCGATCCGACAACGAGGCCCACGCTGCAGCGGGACCACCATCGGAACCACTGCAAACAATCGGACTGAAACAAGCCGAAGAGACCTGTGTGATTGAAAGCCGGTCAGAACAAGAGGGCCGAACACCCTACGGACAGAGCCGGAAGAGAAAAGGAAGTCGCACTCAAAATTTGCAGAGAGGAAGGGGAGAAGGAGGGGGAAGAGGAGGAACGAGGAGGGAAGAGGAAGGAGAAAGGAGGAAAAGAAGGATTTTCGCTTTGTTTCAACAGACCCTCTCCACCAAAACAATGGAGACGGATGAGGAGGAGGAGGAGGTGGAGAAAAATGAGGAGGAGCAGACAGAGGCTCGAAGAAATTGTCTTGTCCATCCTTTCCGGCCCCGGGAAGCCCGCTTCTGGCCCTTGAGACCGCCACAAACCAACCTTGGGACGAAGCAACTTGCCAAGTGGACCCCGAGGGGTCCAGGCCTGGTCACGGGGGCCAATTTGGGACTGATTCCGACCGTGGGGAACCCAGGGAGCCCATCAAAGGCGCACGCGCCCAGACATGTAATTGCACGAGCGTGGTCCCCCCGTCCGAACGGCCAGCCTCACATAAAGAACGCTCGCGCAATACACGCCCTCGAAACCCAAAGGGCATCCAAGAGACCTCTGGCCCTTGTGCTTGCCCTCCTCCTCCTCCTCCTGTTCCTCCTTCCTGCTCCTACTCCTTCTCTTCCTCCTCCTCCTCCTCCTCCTCCTCCTCCGCCTCCTCCTCATCCTATTCATCCTCCGTCTTCCCACTCCCTCATCCATCCATCCATCCACCTCCTCCTTCTCCTCCTCACTCCTTTACACGGTTCGGCCGTCCTCCTCTTTGCTGTCGCACTTCCCTGATCACCTCGACTCGCCTGGACATCGTTTCGGGATGGGCTGGTGGGGATAAGCGAAGCGTCTAGAATTGCACGAGCGTGGTCCCCCCGTCCGAACGGCCAGCCTCGCATAAAGAACGCTCGCGCAATACACGCCCTCGAAACCCACGACGTTCCATGCATTGATACGCTGTCGCTCACTCCTGTCATGGAAAGAGGACACCAGCTAGACCTTTCCTTGCGGGTTACATTATGAAAACCTGCGGGGGTGCAGAATCTGAACGACGGCTGCAGCCAAGTGAGCCCCGGCGGGGGTGCCAGATGCCCCAACGTCGAATATGAGAACGGCACCGTGCCACGTGTGGACTTCCTTCAGGCCCCCCTCTAAAGCAGCACGGCGCACAGGCTGTCAGCTCTGAGGGAACGCGGAAGTATGCACCGTACCTGTCCTGGGTCGAGGATTAATTGTGCCTTGCCCGCAGGGGTAGGGTTCGCACGGGGCCACAGAGCAGCTGCTGGGCCCGCAGGATCGAGGCCCGGGGCTCGAGAGGCCGAGGCGTCGAGGTCTCTGGCCGCTTGTCCTCGCCATTTCTGGGGCCTCGGGCCGGTCAGTTCGAACATCCGCCCGCTGAGCAGCGCGAGACGGACATGCCCCGCCGACAGGGGACGAGGACACGGCGAATGAGCGTCACAGGAGAAAAGCCACGGGACTAAAGCATGAGGGAGGAAATCAGGCCTGCCTGGCCTCCTTCCTCCTAAGCCCTGATCCACTGGAGCCGCGCCAGCATCCTCACCTCGCAGGAGGCAGTACGGCCCCTAAGGGGGCAGCAGCGACCACCCCTGAAGGGCCGTGCCGCACCCCTGCCTGGCCGCCAGCTCAGGGCACGGCCGCGGCCGTCGCGCCCTCCGCCCGGACACCTCCGCGTCTGCATGCCAGTCGTAGCCAGTACACGGTATGGCGTATTCTCGTCTGCCACCTCCTGCTATGCTGCCGCTGCCCTCTCCTCCTCCTCCTCCTCCTCCTCCTCCTCCTCCTCCTCCTCCTCCTCCTCCTCCTCCTCCTCCTCCTCTGCCTCCTCCTCCTCCTCCTCCTCCTCCTCTTTCTCATCCTCCAACTCCTCCTCCTCCTCCTCCTCCTCTCCTCCTCCTCCTCCTCCTCCTCCTCCTCCTCCTCCTCCTCCTCCTCATCTTCAACATCATCATCACCGTCATCACCGTCATCATCACAATCCTCCTTATCATCCACATCACCATGATAATCATCCTCATCATCATCCTCATCGTCATCACCATCATCACCATCATCGTCCTCATCCTCCTCATCAATACACTCATCATCCTCATCATCATCATCATCATCATCATCATCATCATCATCATCATCATCATCATCATCATCATCATCATCAGTATCCTCATCATGATCATCATCCTTATCATCCTCATGATCCTCATCATTCTCATCACCCTGATTATCCTCATCAGCATCATCATTATCAGCATCATCATAATCACCAACATCATCATCGTCTTCATCGTCATCATCATCAGCAGCAGCATTATCATGTTCCTTATCTTCACCGTCATCATCCCTCCTCATCCTCATCCCCATCATCATAATCATCATCGTCTTCATCATCATCATCATCATCATCATCATCATCATCATCATCATCATCATCATATCCCTCATATTCTTCTTCATCATCATCATCCTCATCAACACCATCATAGTCATCATCGCCATCATCCTCACCATCATCATCCTCAGCAGCATCATCCTCATCATCTTCATCCTCATCATCATCCTCGTCATCAGTATCCTCATCCGCAACATCATCAGCATCAACATCAGTGACATCACCATCAGCATAATCATCATAATAGTAAGTATCATCATCAGTATCCCCGTTATCATCATCATATGACTCATCATCATCGCCATCATCATCGTCATCGTCATCGTCATCGTCATCATCATGACCATCATCATCGTCATCAGCAGCAGCATCATCGTCATCGTCATCACCATCACCATCGCCATCAGTTCCACCATCACCATCACCATCATCAACAACATCGTCACCATCACCAGTCATCACCATCACCACCACGACCACCATCTGTATCGTCATCATCAGTATCAGCAGCATCGTCGTCAGCATCATCATCGTCGTCCTCATCGTCATTATCAGCACCATCAGCACCAACAGCATCATCAGAATCAGCATCGCCATCAGCATCTTCATCATCATCGTCTCTCCTTCCTTCGCCACCCCTCGTAGTCCTCCTCCTCGCTCGTCCTCGACCACACGAAGCGGGCTGGGCTCCTCGCCTCCCGTGCATCCTCTGGCGAGGATCGGGCGGACGACGACTGGATCGAGGAGCCCAGTCGCTGGCAACTCATGGGAGCCTCCCGTATCGCCTTGTCGGCTCTTGCGAATCGACGCTCTTCGACGCCGAATTGGCGCCAAACGACGCTAGATCGGCGCCAATCGACGCTAGAACGGCGCCGAACTGGCGCTCCTCATCGACTCTCAGACGCTAATAGACGCGAGCCGACGCTAAAGACGGAATTGCGAGGACGGCGAGGCGGCGAGAAGCAGCGGAGAGGAGCAGCGGAGAGGAGCAACGGCGAGGAGCAGCGGATAGGAGCAGCGGAGGAGCAACGGCGAGGAGCAGCGTGGGCCCTTGGCAAGGCGGCGAGGAGCAGCGGAGAGGAGCAACGGCGAGGAGCAACGGCGAGGAGCGGCCGCCACACGGCTGGCGCGCCCGACCGACACCGCGCCCGGGGGTGGCTCGGGCAGGCCGAGCGGCTCGGGCGGGCGCTCCTGTCGGGCCGGCTCTCCGTCTCCCGCATCCCATTTCCCTGCCTCCTCCTCCTCCTCCTCCTCCTCCTGCTCCTCCTCCTCCTCCTCCCCTCCTCCTCCTCCTCCTGCTCCTCCTCCTCCTCCTCCTCCTCTCCTCCTCCTCCTCCTCCTCCTCCTCCTCTGCTCCTCCAGTTCCTCCTCCTCCTCCACCTCCTCCTCCTCTTCCTCCCCTCCCCTCCTCCTCCTCCTCCCCTCCTCCTCCTCCTCCTCCTCCCCTCCCTCCCCCCCTCCTCCTCCTCCTCCTCTCCTCCTCCTCCTCCTCCTCCTCCTCCTCCTCCTCATCCTCCTCCTCCTCCTGCTCACCCTCCTCCTCCTTCTCCTCCTCCTCCTCTTCCCCTCCTCCTCCTCCTCCTCCTCCTCCTCCTCCTCCTCCTCCTCCTCCTCCTTCTCATCGGCGCCGGACACGACGACACACGCCACCGTGACCGAGACGAGGCTGCGTGTTAATTATCCTCTAGATGCTGAGACAAGATGTAGTTCGTGATGGGCCAATTTTCCATTACCACTACCAAAGGTAGGACGGGGGAGAAGGGAGAATGCGGAGGTCCTCCTCCTCCTTCTCCTCCTCCTCCTGGACGCAGCATGAGCGGACCAGTTCGATCTGGGCCACCTGTACTTGGCCCGCGGTGGGTGGCGCGTCGAACCACTTACGCCACCACCGCGGGCCCCTCCTGGCCAGCCTCCGAAGGCTGGCTTTCATGATCCAAAGCCGAGCGAGTTGCCGCGGGCTCCTCAACAGCCCGCGGGAGCCTGATGACGGGTTCGGCGCCTCCAGCGCCCACAAGGCGGCCTGTCTCCCAGGCCTGCGTGAGCGTGAACCACTTCATATTTACCTGGTACCGCCCTCTGGCCAGGCAGTTCAACACCCTATCTCCCCAAGAGGTGGGTGCAGGACGGCCTGGGCATGGCTGAGAGAGGGCGGGCACGGTGCCTGGACCGCTCCCCCTCCTCCTCCTCCTCCTCCTACTCCTCCTCCTCCTCCTCCTCCTCCTCCTCCTCCTCCTCCTCCTCCTCCTCCTCCTCCTCCTGGTCGTCCTCCTCCTCCTCCACCTCCCTCCTCCTCCTCTCCCCCCCTCCTCCTCCTCCTCCTCCTCCTCCTCCTCCTCCTCCTCCTCCTCCCTCCTCCTCCTCCTCCTCCTCCTCATCCTCCTCCTCCTCTCCTCCTCTTTCCTCTACCCCCCCTCCTCCCCATCCCTCCCATCTCCTCGCATCGCTGCTCCTCCTCCTCCTCCTCCTCCTTCTCCTCCTCCTCCTCTCTCCACCACATCCTCCTCCGCCTCCTCCTCCTCCACTTCCTCCTCCTCCTCCTGCTCCTCCTCCTCCATCATCCTTCTCCTCCTCATCCCTCATCTCATCCTCATCCTCCTCCTCCTCCTCCTCCTCATCATCTCATCATCATCATCATCATCATCATCATCATCATCATCATCATCCATCATCATCATCATCATCATCATCATCATCAATCAGCGTCATCATCATCTCTCCTCATCATCATCATCATCATCATCATCATCAGCACTCATCCATCATCATCAACATCATCATCATCCTCCTCCTCATCATCATCATCTTCATCATCATCATGATCATCCTCATCATCATCACCATAAACATCATCATCATCATCAGCATCATCATCATCATCATCATCATCATCATCATCATCATCATCAGCAGCAGCAGCATCAGCAGCATCAGCATCAGCATCATCATCTTCATCATCACAGCATGATCATCATCATTAGCATCATCATCCTCGTCGCATCATCATCATCATCATCATCAGCACCATCATCATCAACATCATCAGTATCATCATCAACATCAGCATCATCATCATCAGCAGCAGCAGTATCATAATCATCAGCAGCAGCAGCATCAGCATCATCATCAACATCAGCAGCATCAGCATCATCAGCATCAGCATCATCATCATCATCAGCAGCAGCAGCATCATCATCAGTATCAACATCATCATCACCAGCAGCATCATCAGCATTCTTAGCATCAGCAACAGCATCATCATCAGCAGCATCATCGTCGTTATCAGCATCATCATTAGCAGCATCAGCATGAGCATCAGCGTCCTCATCATCATCAGCAGCATAATCAGGATCATGATCATCATCATCATCATCATCATCATCATCACCATCATCATCAGCATCATCATCAGCAGTATCAGCATCATCATCCTCATCATCGCCATCATCGTCATCGTCATCATCATCTTTATCATAATCGTCATCCTTCTCATCCTCCTTCTCCTCTTATTCCTCCTCCTTCTCCTCCTCCGCCTCCATCCTCCACCTCCTCCTCCTCCTCCTCCCCCTCCTCCTCCTCCTCCACCTTCTCCTCCTCCGCCTCCTCCTCCTCCTCCTCCTCATCCGCCTCCGCCTCCACTTTCGCCTCCACTTTCGCCTCCGCCTCCGCCTCCGCCTGCTCCTCCTCCTCCTCCTCCTGCTCCTCCTCTTCCCTCCTCCTCCCCTCCTCCTCCTCCTCCTCCTCCTCTTCCTCTCCCCCCTCCTCCTCCTCCTTCTCCTCTTCCTCCTCCTCCTCCTCCTCCTCTGCCCCCTCCTCCTCCGCCTCCTCCTCCGCATCCTCCTCCGCCGCCGCCTCCTCCTCTTCCTCTTTTCCTCATAAGTGTTATTTCCCTGTCGCACTCCGAGGCCATTGTTTTCAGGCGGGCCGGGCGTTTCGCCTGAGACTTCCTCACCATTTATAGCCCTGAAGTTTCAAAGTTGGCAACACTTTCACATATGGAGGGTGGGTCGTTTACAAAATGCGGCTCTCGCCTTCGCGCCGCTCACATTCGATTGAAAAAAATGTTAGAGTTTCACGGATTGGAGTCGAATCGTTTTCAAAATGCTGTTCTCGCCTTAGCGCTGCGCGCATTTACCGCGCACATTCGGTCTCAAAAGTTGCAAGAGTTTCCCGGGTTCCCATGATCAGCGTGCCAGAAATTTTGTGTCGGCCCACGATCAGAATACCAGATATGGCGTTTTGGAAGGCTTCTGGATTATGAGGGCGCAACAGTTACGTTGATTCACCCTTCTCATGCAAGTCTCCTGGCCTTCGGATCGGTGGACAACCAGGGCGGGAACGCCGGGAGGGGCAAGTGTGACAGATGCAAAACAACCATCATCATCACCATCACCATCACCGTCACCATCACCATAATCATCATCATCATCATTATCATCATCATCATCATCATCATCATCATCATCATCATCATCATCAGCATCAGCAGCAGCAGCATCAGCATCAGCATCATGAGCATCATGAGCATCATCAGCATCATCAGCATCATCATCATCAGCATCAGCATCAGCATCAGCATCGTCATCATCATCATCACCACCATCATCATCATCATCATCATCATCATCATCATCATCATCATCAGCATCAGCATCATCAGCAGAAGCAGCAGCATCGTCATTCCCGTCAGCATCATCATCGTCCGCATCAGCATCATCATCATCAACAGTATCCGCATCATCTCCATTATCATCAGCATCAGCATCATCATCAGCATCATCATAATCACCACCGTCAGCAGCATCGTCATCCGCATCGTCATCATCATCAACAGCATCATCATACTCAGCATCATAATCGTCCTCATCCAATTATCACCATCGTCATCATCAGCATCATCATTACCATCACCGCCATCATCATCAGCATCAGCATCATCATCAACTGTGTCATAAATATTACCATCAGCAGCAGCATCATCGTCATCTTCATCGGCATCATAATCGCCATCCTCAGCATCACCATCATCCGCAGCGTCAGCATCAGCATCATCGTCAGCATCAGCATCAGCATCATTATCATCATACTCAGCAGCAGCATCAGCATCAGCATCAGCATCAGAATCATCATCATCATCAGCATCATCAGAGTCATGATCGTCATCATCCCTCCTCCTCCTCCTCCTCATCTTCCTCCTCCTCCTCATCCTTTTCCTCCTGCCACTCCTCCTCCTCCTCCTCCTCTTCCTCCTCCTCCTCCTCCTCCTCCTCCTCCTTCCCCTCCTCCTCCTCCCCCTCCCCCTCCCCCTCCCCATTCCCCTCTACCTCATCCTCCTCCTCCCTCCCTTGCCCTCCGCTCTATCTCCCCCATCCCTCCCTCCTCCTCTCCTCCCCTCCCCTCCCCTCGTTCTACGCTCCTCCTCGCCAGACCTAAAAGAGACAAGAGGGGGGAAGGGAGGAAGAGGACGACCACTGAGGATGAGGAGGAAGAGGAGAAGCAGGAAAGCTGCCGAGAGTTGTCATTACCCACGGGGTCCCGGATAGCTGTAGGAGATACTGGGAGGTGCTGGAGCACCGTGCCCTCCCTCCCAGAAGACCTCGACGAGGGACGAGACCCGCCTTTTGCCTCGAAGCCCCGCCGTGTCGTCGTTTGCAGGTCGGGGCACGACAGGGGTCCCAGAGCCCGACGACTGTGAAAAATTGTTTGTCGGGTGTTTCTGCCGTCTCCCAGGAAAACCTACAGAGAACCAACAACAGCCTAAAACCTCTGTCGTCGTCGTCGCCGTCCTAAAGTCCGCTGCCCATCGGTCCCCAAACCGATCGCGGGGTCCATCCTGGCCAGTTGTCCATCCCATCCAAAGTCAGCTGATGGTCCCCATGGCCCGAAAAACGTCCCCAAGAGGTCGAAGCTACGGAGCAACAAAAACCACGTCGACGACGTCGTCGTCGACGTCGGCGGCGGCGGCAGCGACGAGAGCTGCCGAAAGCCGCCGCCGCCGCCGAAGGGAAAACCAACAAGTACCGATACCGTTGCTCTCCGGACCTCTCCCAGGAGTCGAGCAGGGGATCGACAACAGAAGTGAGTGACCCCAAACTTGGTGTTCAGCCGAATATACGAGATATGCGAAGGTTGCCCCATTGACTTGTGCTACGTATCTGTTTGTAGATCCGACGAGAAAAAATCGATGCTGGGGTGAATCGATGATGTAATCGATCCCCTACTCGAAAGATGCTTCTGGACCAGCAGTTTGACGCGAAGCCAGCCGTGGAGGCAAGGGCCCCACTGGGAGCGCCAGAAAGGCGAAACCAAGGGAAGTGTGGCGGCAGTTGCACAGAGGAGGCCAGTCCTCAAGAAACCTTCAACAAGAAACCCAACCCTTAGACCCCAGGGCGTCCATCGATTTTTGGTTTGGGAACCTCGCGCTTTCCATCGCAAAACTATCGAAATCCAAGGAACCGAGGGCATCCTGGAGGCAAGCAGAGTGAAACTTGGCACGGGCCCCCAGTGCACCTTCTCTGGCGACCTACCAAAACACCCACACCCAACCCGAAGTCATAGTTGAAATCGTCGATTTCCTGCGGGGGAGCACTCAAGAACACTGAAAAGGCACGATGGAGCTCAAACACCCCCCAGCCCAAAATTTAGGCGGTCTGGGACCTTCGGGTTGGGTTGGTGACCGTTTTTTCCTGTGGGTAACGGTCATTACCTGAAGGGGGGGGGGGGTCGAGCGAGAGAGTCACGGTAACGGCGGCCGCGGCGTGCACCCGCCAGGGTGCGTCCGCGCCACGGGCGCAGCAATCGCCCGTGCACCACAGCACGTGGCGAGGGGGGGGGTCCTCCAGGCCACCCTCCCAACACGATCGTTGGCGTCAGCCGGGGGGGTGGGATGGGGGAGGTCGGCCCAGGCAACGAACGTTACCTTGGGGGGCGAAATAACGTTCACTTGGGGCTGGTGGTTTGAAATTTGGCAGCGCGCACAGGGGGGTAGGGGGAGGGGGGAAGGCTTCTTCGAAGCAGGCTGTTTCTTAGAAGGCGCGGGCCTCACATCTACGGACAAAGCCCGCTCCTTTTTTCTTTCGGAAGAGAACAGCCTTTGGTGTCCGCAGCTTGCCAGCCGAACGACTGGTAAATGCAGCTTTGGGCGTCCCCAGCTCGCCAGCCGAACGACAGGTAAACGCAACTCGCGGCGCCCCCGGCTCACCAACCGAACGACCGGTAAATACAGAGCTTGCCATCCGGAGGGGCGCGCAGAAAGCTCTAAGTCACAAGCCAGGAGGGACTGCAGAGCCAGTCATATATCTAATTTGCGAGCAAAGAAAGTGTCCCCGAGAGGCCCAAAACTGGGAAAGGAACGAGGGGGAGGGGGAGGGGAAGGGGCAAGGGCACTGTGCGGCAAACCCCTGGCCCCAGCGGCCACTTCCATAAAATCCCAAATAGCACAGCGCAGCCAAAAGGAGAGGAGGAACAGGAGGAGGCCCCGCCAAAGAGGGAGCGTGCGGGAGAGCGGCTCACACCGTCGTCACCATGGTGTCGCACCCCGGCACCAATGTCAAGGCCTCCCTGTCCATCGGAACCACGTCAGGTATTTCAGGTAGCCGTCCTCGTGCCAGGGCGGAAGCTGCAGGGTGACGGGCACGGGTACTGGTACCCGTGCACCGTGGGCCCAACAGCGCAACTCCCTGCGCGCAGGTCGTGCATTGAATTCAGTCGCTGGTGAGCTGGAGTCGATGGGGAGCTGCAGTCGGCGGCCGTTGTTGTAGCTGGGGCTGTAATCGGGCATCAAATCAAGCAGGCGCCAGAAGGAGCAGCGTCGGAGGCGGCGCAGGCGTCGGGGCAGGAGTCGGAGCTGGAGTGGAGGTGCGCATGCACGGCCCGTGTTGTGGAAGTGGACGGGGCGCGGGTTGTGAGGTTGTGGCGGCGGCGGTGGCGGCAAGGGGGAGTGGTGGTCATGGCGGCGGCGCTGTTGGCGGTAGGGACTGCTGCGCTGGAGGTCGATAGGTGGAGGTGGAGGTGGCAAGGTGGATGCAGGAGGTAGGAATTTTGCGCTGGTAGGCGCTTGAGGTCGATAGGTGCAGGTGCAGATGGAAAGTTCGGATATGGACGCTGAAGGTCGGGGTGCTGGTCTGGTGGAGGTTGAAAGTCGATAGGTGGAGGTCGATGTGAAGGTGAAAGGCTGGATGTCGGATGCCGGAGGTCGAAGGCCGAGTTGGTGGAGGGTGGAGCTCGATAGGGCAAGTGAGTGGAGATGGCATCACGGCACCCAGGGCAAGGCCCGCGCCTTCTAAGAAGCAGCCTGCTTCTAAGAAGCCTTCCCCGCTCCCCCTAACCCCCCTCTACGCGTGGCCGAGAAGCACACGTCGGTCGGAAGAGGTAGATAAAGACACGAAGTAGGAAGGCGGATCAAGTAGATTGGGTCCAGGTCCTCCCAGAGAAGAACAAGCACACCACAGCTTGAAGCAGACTGGGATCTGGGCATCCAGAAATACCGACTTTCAACGACCGACGTGTAGTGATTTCCCTCCTCTGCGCCGACGCCCGCCGAAGGCCGCCCAGGGCCGCTGCTGACCGCCACCCTTCGGCAGCGGCGGCGGCGAGTCCCGAGAGGCCGGCGCGTCCTCGGGCGGCTCCGGGGCCAGGAGCTCCAGCACGGCCGCGTCGAAGCGGGCCGGCGACTCGCTGGGCGTCTCGGCCCCGGGCATGTCCTGGAACTCCTGGCGCGGCCCCCACAAGACGAGTCCAGGACGAAAATAAAATCGGGTGAGGATAAATCGAGAACCTCTGAGATCCAGCGGCTCTGGAGGATGTATCGGGCACCGCGGCCTTCCCAGAACGTTCCGGAACGCTCCGAGAGCGTCCCGGAACGCTCTGGAATGGATTTATCCTCGTCCTAGCCCCGCCCGACCCCAGGGCGGTGCGGACGAACCTGAGATTTGGGCGTTGCAACTTCTATCGCGTCGGGCCGTTTCGCCCAGGTTCTGGCCATGGGGCCAGCACAGATCGATCAGGCTCCAAAAAAGCCCCAGAAAGATGGGGGGGAGGGCTCCAGTCGTGATTTTCCAACATCTTGCAGTTCTTCCCCCACGCTCCCGAGGCCCGGCGAGGGCCCCCAGAGGCCAAAAGTAGCGAGAAGAACCTGCCTTCATGCTTCTTCATGGTTCGAGAGGGTCTGGGGGAAGAGTGGAGGGGGGGGGCAAAGCGGGGGCTGGCGAATCAGCTGAAGGCCGGCTTCCCGCCGGAGGCGGCCCCGGCCTCGAGGGAAGCTCCTCCTCCTCCTCCTCCTCCGCCTCCTCCTCCGCCTCCTCCTCCTCCTCCTCCTCCTCCTCCTCCTCCTCCTCTCCTCCTCCTCCTCCTCCTCCTCCTCCTCCTCCTCCTCCTCCTCCTCCTCCTCCTCCTCCTCCTCCTCCTCCTCATCCTCCTCCCCCTCCTGGCTCCGGTCTCGAGAGGAGGGCGCCATGCGGCAGGACCCCGCGGCACAGCCGCGTGCCGCCGCTGCAGTCCGAGCCCTGCCCCGGCGGGGTCCCGCAGGAGGCGACGGCAGCTGCAGGCCCCGACCTCCTCGCGCCGCGGAAAAATCACGACCGGAGGTTTTCGCTAGTTTCGGCCTCTGGGGGCCCTCGCCGGGCCTCGGGACTGTCAAAGAACGGCTCGGGACGAGAAAGCGGTCCCGGGGGAGGGGTCCAGACCTCTGGGGGTCGACGTTGTGAACAGATCACCACGTCGGGGGTCTGGGGGGAGAGGGCACGCGGGTCCCCACGCCCGTGTCGGCACATCGCTGACACTGGTCGTGCCCCCCTCAGGAGCTCCACCGAACGCCCCGATGGAAGCGTTCGCACAGGTCTCCCCGCCTGCTTCGGAGCAGCTCTCGCGCGGATCGTGCGGTGGCAACTCGTGGGAGCCTCCCATACCATCGTGTTGGCTCTTGCGAGTCGACGCTAAATCAACGCTAATCGAAGCTCAATCGACGCTAATCGGCGCTGGCCGACGCCAAACCGGCGATATCCCATCGACTCCCAGACGCTCATCGACACTAATCGACGCTAAAGACGGAATTACGAGGGTATACCAGGCTCCCATGATTTGCTACAGAACCATAGGAAGCTGCACCAACAGCCCCAGTGAGGGCGTTCACATGCGCCCCCCCGCCCAGTTCGGCACACCCCTCACGCGGATCGCGCCCCGCAGGGAGAGCCACTTACGGCCCAAGCGGGAGGGTTCGCATGCAGGCCCGCGCACAGTTCGGCGCACCCCTCTCACGGATCGTGTCTCACAAAGAGCTCCACCTACCTCACCGTGCTCGTTAGCATGCGGGCCTCGGCCAAATTAGGCACACCGCTCACACGGATCGTGCCCCCACGTGGAGCTCCACCGACGGCCACAGCAAAGGCGTTCACACGCGTCCCCCCGCCCGTGTTGGCACACCACGCCAGAGACCCGAATGCCATCCATCCCGCGGCGCGTAGGATACGAGGAGACCGCCACGCCCTGCGCTCCACACAAGTGCATGGGGTTAGAAAACCAAGAGGTACCCATGCCGCTACTCCCCGGACCTCTCACAGAGTGCGTTCGGACCAGAATCTCGAGGAGAGTACAGCCGCGGCGGCGAGGGCCTCCCAGGAGACCCAAAAAGGCGAGAACGAGGCAAGGGTGACGGCATCAGTACTGGTTCCTCTCCTGAGGGGGTTAAGCCCTTCGCCATAATGTTACTGATCTTCGTAAGCACTCCCCAGGCTGCTACTCGCGAACCGTGCACCTTCCAATCGGTCTGAAGAGAAGGGCAGAAATGTGGAGCAGGAAGGCGTTGAAAGTACATTGGGCTTCCGCCCGCCCTCTGAAGAGGAGGGAAGGGGGAAAACCGCTCGACCCCTGAAGTAGGACGACGCCTCACGCAAAACTGGAACCTGGGAGCCCAAGAAAATACCCGCTCTCAACGAGCGCTGGGTAGAGAGGATGGCCGAGCCGGGCCGAGCAGGGCCGAGACACGCCCTGCGCTTCACTCCGTTGCATGGCATTGGTAGGCAACCAAAATTCGGGGGTGCGCCAACATGGACTAGCGGTCCATGGATTTGGCGCGCGGTCGCCAAATCCATGGATCGGGTGCCCTCCCCAGAATGCGACCGGTGCCGCCTTGCTCGGCGGCGGAGATCCGCGATTTCCTATGGAAACGGGACCCGTCGCGAATCCACGCCCCCTTAATCCATGTTCGCGATCGCCTGAAATTGGTAGGCAACCAGATGTGAGCCCTACCCCCGCAGGTCAAATGTCTGAAACGCCTCCGAGAGATCTCTGCAGCAAAGTGAACCCCGGCAGCGGTGCCCGACACTCCAGCATAGGAGGGCTGGGCCCGCCGGGGTAGGGCTCGCAAGCGGTCGCAGCGCCGGAAGCCTCTCGCCGAGCGAGTGATTGCCGATGCGATCAGTGCTCCCCCCGCTGCTGCTCGCGCGTCGTGCACTCACGGTCGGGAGCGTTTGCTCAGCGTGTTGCGGCGGCGGCCCCGGGCGACACGCTGCGCCCTCGCGAGCGGACGGCGTGTCGCCCCGCTCCGCGGGGCGGACGGCTGGGCGCGGGGACGGGGACACGGATAACGCGTCGTGCCGAAGCCTAGGGGGTCAGAACCGGCGGCGCGACACGCTAAACGCAAGCCCACGACCGTAAAAGTCAGGGGCGTCCAAGAGGGGGACGTCCGAGAGGGGGGGGTGTAAATCATGGCCGGCGGCATGTGCGCGGCCCAGAGGGGGTGCCAGGAACGTATTGACACAAGAAGAGGCGCCAGAAAATCTGGGGAGACATCATGGCCCCCGCCATGATATCCACCCCCCCTAGTCATCACCCCCCTCTTTGCCGCCCACGAGTAAAGAAGATGGCCAAGCCCGACCGGGGTAGCTGGGTCCTCCTGGCTAGGCGTCTTCTGGACGTCGAGCTCGACGTGATCCTCCAGCATCCTAGCCTCCAGCTGCGCCTTCCGGGCGGCCGCGTGAGGTCGCGGGGATTGGGGAGCTCGTCCTCCTCAGGGAGGGGGGGCCCCTCAAGGGCGAGAAGGAGGAGGAGGAGGACGAGGAGGAGGAGGACGAGGAGGAGGAGGAGGACGAGGAGGAGGAGGAGGAGGAGGAGGAGGAGGAGGGGGAGGGGGAAGAGGAGGAGGAGGAGGAGGAGGAGGAGGAGGAGGAGGAGGAGGAGGAGGAGGAGGAGGAGGAGGAGGAGAGGGCCTCTGAGGGGCGAGGAGAACGAGGAGTGGGAAGGAGCGAAGAGGTTTCTGCACATGTTCCCACTTTTGGGGCCTCCAGGAATTTCCTTATCGCCATGGCTGGATTCCCCTCGAGAATCCTCGTCAGAACGCACCTCGGGAGATGTCTGGGAGTCGATCTCTGAGGGGAAAACGAGGAGGGGGAGGGATGATTTGAGGACAATTGACTACCTGGCTGCAAATCTCGCGGACTGGACAGCAGGCGACAATAAACTGAACAGAAACTAGCCCATGTGGCGCGTGGTGCACCGATTATGTCGGGACACGCTGGGGGTGATACAGGGACTCCTCCCGACTCCTCCACGTCTTCTCCTCCTTCGCTGTCACCTCACGACTCCTCGGGATCCTACTCTTCCTCATCCTACGCCTCCATTCCGCCTCCTCCTCCTCCTCACTTCCCTATCCTCAGCCTCCTTCTCTAGATCCGGATCATCACACGTCTCCTCTACATCCTCCCTATCCTCGCATCCTCAAACCAGCCCACCTCGCCTCCTCTCCGCGCCCGCTGCATCATAACAAAAATCGCAACAAATATCGTCATCCTCATCACCATGGCCGTCCACATCCTCGCCGTCATCACATTTGTCATCGTCATCATCACCAACCGCAACATCATCATGGTCATCATCATCATAATCCGTCGACCTCTGCCTGCCGGAGGGCGAAATCATCCTCACCATCATCACCAGCATCATCAGCATGATCAGCATCATCAGCATCATCATCATCATCATCATCATCATCATCATCATCATCATCATCATCATCACCATCATCATCATCATCATCAGCAGCAGCATCAGCATCAGCATCATCATCATCATCATCATCATCATCATCATCATCATCATCATCATCATCATCATCATCATATCATCATCGTCATCGTCATCGTCATCGTCATCATCATGATCGTCATCATCATCATCATCATCATCATCATCATCATCATCATCATCATCATCATCATCATCATCGTCATCATCATCGTCATCATCATCATCGGAATACGCCGGCCCACGCTGACTGGGGGCGAACATGCGTGTGAGGCATGTGGCCGTCCCTCCCCCTCCCTTTTCTCCCTCCCCCCCAGTGTCAGAAATGCCCTGTGAGCGGGGGGAAGTCCGTACGAGCTCGTCGAGGGCCCACTCCGACTCTCCCGGAGCCTCCAGATCCAGCGCCCCTCCCTCGAAGATGCCAAGAATGCCTTTCACGACGGCACAAGAGGGGCGCCAACGCGCCTGGAAGGCGTCCGAAGCACTCAACATGGCCTCAAGACACCCCAAGGGGCCCCGAAGACGCCCCTCACGGATCCAAAACGAATGTCCTTCCTATGGTGTTGGTTTGATTCTGGCGTTCTCCCGCCCTCTAGCTTTCGGGAACTGACAGACGGCCCCAGAAGCCCTCTGGATTGGCCCAAGACGCTTCAAGACGCCTCCAAGAGCGCCCGCAGATAGCTCAAGAGGGCACCAAGACAACCGAAGAGATCTCCAAAGCAGCCCAGGAGGCTCCCAAATGGGCTCAAGACAATGAACTCGAGTGACCTCCAGGAGTCCTCCTCCACATGATGTCCCCCAGTACCCCCAAGAGGCCCCCAGGAGGCCCCACGATGCACCCAGAGGGCCTCATGAGGCCCCTCACAGGAGCTCCCAAAAGTCCCCCGAGAGACCCCCCAGATGCTTCCAACGAGACCCCGTGAAACCCCGCAACAGAACCCGCTTCAGGATCCTCTGGACGCGAAGTGCCAACTGTCACGACCGTACGTTCGGAAGGTCCGACATGATGACGCTGATTTAAAACAAAAGCATAGGACGATGATGATGGCTCGGGATACGGTGATGGCATTGGATGAGGAAACCTCCGATAAGGAATCCAGGGTCTGGAAGCCAGTGGGGCTCCAATCGTGGACTGGCCATGGATATTACCGCCGCCGTCATGCGATGAGGCATCTCCCAGGGTCTGAAGCCTCTTCGGTACATTCCTTAACGAACGCCCCCACCGTACGTTGCGAAAACTCTGGAGTATCTAGCGGGCCTCGCGTCTGCGGTGAATGTGGGACATTAAGGGGATCCTGGGAATCCAGGAGATCCTGGAATGCATCATTGTCATGACCTCCTGCTCCTCCGACTACAGAAAGGACCTCCACGTAAGGCTTCCACGGCACACCCCCAACCACCTTCAGCGACGCCAAGACACATCCAGAAGCACTCTCTCTGTGCGTGCAACCCCGTATGTACGATAAGTACTCGATCCTTCCATGCACCCAGACCAGAGCAATAGAGGCCTCCCAGATAGGGTCCGAGTAGGTGGGGTCGGAGGATCGCGCCACATCGCCGATACATCGGCGATGCACCGGTGATGCATCAGCGACGTCACCGATGCATCAGCGACGTCGGTGTGGATAAACTCGGGCTCCACATCGAGCCGCATCGCCGATGCATCGGCGATGTGACTCGATCCTTCCAACCCTATCGAATCGGACCCTGTCTAGGAGGCCTGGGGATAATGCAAGGCAAAGACAAGCGGCTCATGACTAATCCCACCAGCCCTTTGGGCGGAGGTGGTCTGCTGGTGTTTTTCTTTCGTCTTCCAAAACCATCTTCCCTTCGGGGAGGGGTACCCTCCCCCTCCCCTCCCTGAGGCGGTTGCTCCCAACCATAATGTGGTGTTGGGACCTCGTCTTGAAGAGACAGTGCCGCGCATTCCTCTCCTCTCCTCCTCATCCCCCCGCCTCCCTGCCGCATCATCATGATCGTCACCACCACCACCACCACCACCACCACCATCATCATCATCATCATCATCATCATCATCATCATCAGAATCATCATTATCGTCATCATCATCATCATCATCATCATCATCATCATCATCATCATCATCATCATCATCATCATCATCGTCATCATCATCCTCATCAGCAGCAGCAGCATCATCAGCATCATCATGAGCGTCAGCATCAGCATCAGCACCAACATCATCGTCATCAGCATCAGCAACAGCATCATCAGCATCATCATCATTTGCATGATCATCAGCATCCTCATCATAACCATCAACATCATCATCAGCAGCAGCATCGTCATCGCCATCATCGTCAGCATCATCATCATCATCATCATCATCATCATCATCATCATCATCATCATCATCATCATTACCAGCATCGTCATCACCATCAGCATCAGCATCAGAATCATTAGCATCAGCGTCAGCATTAGCATAATAATCGGCATCATCATCAGCAGCATCAGCATCAGTAACATCATCAGCATCAGCAGCATCAACATCGTCATCAACATCAACATCACCAGCGTCATCATCATCGTCATCAGCATCATCAGCGTCAACGTCATCATCGTCATCGCTATCATCGCGACCATCAGCACCACCAACATCATCAACATCATTGTCAGCAGCATCATCGTCAGCGTCATCATCATCGTCATCAGCATCAGCATCATCATCAACATCATCATCGTCTTCATGATCTTCATCATCACCACCACCACCACCACCATCATCATCATCATCATCATCATCATCATCCTCAATATCGCCGTCGGCATCGTCATCATGATCATTGCCGTCATGACCATTGCCGTCATCAGCATCAGCATAATCACCATCACCAACAGCATACTCATCACCAGCATCAACATCGTCATCATCAGCAGCAGCAGCAACGTCATCATAATCATCATCAGCAGCAGCATCACCATCGGCATCGACATCATCGTCATCGTCATCATTATCATCACCCTAATCATCACAACCATCCTCATCAGCATCACCGTCAGCATCAGCATCATAATCGTAATCAGCATCAGAATCATCATGATCATCATCATCATCAGCATCACCATAATCAGCAGCATCATCATGATCAGCATCATCATCGGCAGCATCACCATCATGATCATCATCATCATCATCATCATCATCATCATCATCATCATCATCATCATCATCATCATCATCATCATCTTCATCTTCATCTTCATCTTCATCTTCATCATCTTCATCATCATCATCATCATCATCTTCTTCACCGCCATCAGCGCGGCATACAATTGACCTCACACGGTTTGGTGACCCCATACAGTCGGCCTTGATTGGACAGGACACGCGAGAGGACACGAGACCCTTCCGAGGGCCACATCGCCACAGGAGTGTAAGAAGGCACGTGTCGCGAGGCACAGGCCAGGAGGGTACCCCTGAGCTGGCAGGGTCGACCTGCTAATCTGGGCCGACTGTAGG